GGCGACCGTCCGGTAACGCTCGCGCGTGCACATACACACACGCACACACGAAGCACACGGCACACACGGCGGTAGTCGACCCGGACGACCTCACCAGAGGAGAAGCACGTAGTGCGGTTAAAGTGCAGCGGCGGTTACGTTTGCGAGTCGTCACAAGACTACGTCGCGCGTCGATACCGACAGCTCTCCAGAGCGACCTTGCAGAGGTTATTCGCGCCGGTGATTTCGGTGGCAAAGTACGAGACATCAGGCGTAAAAACAATAATAAATAGTACTTGTAGTTTTAGGATTAGTTATGACAATAATAATAATAATAATAATAATCATAAAAAAAATAACGAATTTCATTCCATCGCTGTGCGTGCAATACCGCTGCCGCCGTCGTCGGTGTTGTCATTGTGTTTACTCGCCCACAAGGTGTTCGATGGGCGGCAACAGCCGTCGCGCACAACACCTGCCCGTCCGTCAAAAGTGTCGTCGGCGAGTGGTGCTAAACCTTTGCCGAGATCGACGACGACTACGGTTAAGCATCCGCAATACCTAACCCATAACCACCTTTACTTAATAACGAGGTCTCTTGACTAGTGTCTAACTGCTCGGCGTGTTTGTTTTGTTTGTCTGCGCAGGAGCACGTTTTGCCGACGAAGAAAAGAGATGACTATCAAGGCGGCGACGAATATAACAGTGGCTTCCGTAGCCACCCCGCGGCGGCGAAGACGAGCGAGCGGTTTCGCGAAGATGACGGCATTCTTGTTGGTAGCCGCCGTCGTTTTGGTCGATGTGATCAAAGTCTGTAAGTACCGCCGACATTCATGGTTATAGTTTATACCTATTTTATAATAATAATAATAATAACAACACGATTCGCGGTCTTCGTGTATCCGAAACGCATCATCGCAGTCTAATACACAAAATTATACTCTTACGTGCCTATTATGGCGTGTCCGTGCATTACAATACAATATAATATCGGGTTACCCGGTAAGGTGGGTACGGATGATGGGGCGGCAGCGACGGGAGATCCCTCGGGGCGGCCGGCACCGTTTTTTTTTTTCATTTTCCCCCCCGTCAACCGCGTGTGTTCTTTTTTACGCTGCTTTCCAAGAAACTCACGAATTCCGAAACTACTGCTGCACACAATACAACGCTAATTACATTACATAATGCGATTATCGTCGTCACCGCGTTTGTGGTTACGCGCATCATACACTCATCGACCATCGTTATTATTTATGTGATTATTATTACGTGGAAAATTGTTATCGGGTCTTTAAAATTACGCTCCAGCCGGTAGTCGGAGGCGTTTTCAAGCAATATTCTTATATCATAATGTTTATCGCCGCGCCGCACACCTGCTGCTGCTCCTGCTGTCGTTGCTGCTGCACAGTTGCCGTTACGCATAACCGGTGGTACGCTCACCGAAATCATATCATCGTGTTATTGTTGTCGGAGGCGGAATACGCGTACACAGATAACGCCACGTCCGGATTTATGGGGTTTTCGGTAGTCGTTACGGAACCTAACCATTGTCACGACGCGGACCGTGTATACAATCTTAACAAGCCTAAGCGTAGCGACGGCGTTCCGATTACAAACGGCTCGGTACCGGTGGAGATGGTGATGGCCCGGTGGAGGAGGTGGTGTTCTCACTGGATGCCGATAGGACATAATCGTTTCGGTTTTTTTTTTCTTGTCTTATAATATTGTGTTACATATTATTATTATCAAGTACCTTTTACCTATTAAAATATTATAACCGTCGACCCGCGTCTCGAGGCGTCCCTTGCAGTTCACACACGACCGCTCAATCCATTCCGCACGTCGCCGCGCCCTTTCTTTTCCGTTTTGACGGCGGCCGTACTCACGACCATTAACCGCCACAGCACCCCTTTTCGTCGCCGTCACCGCCTAGTTTTTATTTTTATTAGACTAGTCGTCCTCGGAGGGCTCGCCGCCGCCGCCGCTGCAGGGTTTGTTGAAATGTCAAGAGTTTATGTACTATATACGCTCTACGGCATATAGGCCGCGCGCGTATATTATTACTATTATTATTCTAATATGTGCATAGTGACTAATGCGTTTTGTTCCCCCGTTCGTCATGTGACCGAGAAGCTGTCTGGGATAGCGATTTTCCGAGCCTAGTGTGTACAATAATGTATGTGTTTCGTATGTATGATGGATGTATATAATATGCGTGTCTGTATAGAGCGAAAACGAGGAACTCATCAAAACGGGTCGATCTATAAATACGAGGGGGTCGGGTCTCCCCTAATCTCTGACGACGGCGACGGCACTGTCGACGACCCTAAGCGGCCCGCAGATTTCCTCCTCTCGCCGTCATCGCAGCCGTCGGTCTATTAATAACAATATAACGTCGATCGGGTAATGTGTGGCATCGCTGTCCAAACTCTAAACTATACGCACGCACACACACGCACACATACACACGCGCGCGAGCGTACTATCGAACCGCATTTATTAAATAACGTTTGGAGACGTGGTGGCTTTATTGTTGTTGTGTATAGGCTGAATGTTTTCTCCGTAGACGTTCCACTGCTCGAACGCGATTGGCGTGTACGACGGTAATAAAATGTAATAGTTTTTAATCGCTTTGTACTTGTCGTTTTTCTGGCATATCGGAGTGTAATCATAATGACATGAAATAGCGAAGAATGTGAACGACGGTTATGCCAGCAGCAAAAAAAAAAAAAACCAACACGGGTACCCGCCAACAGGGTACGCGCCAGCATTAGAGACCGGCGTGAGGGGGGGATGTGCGCCCCGGTAGCAGTATGTCGGTCGTGAAAATCCGCGGTTGCACCGGTTGTTAAAAATAGTCGTGCCGAACGGGCACAAGTAGGGGTGTGGTAGAGTAATCGCTTTTCGCGTAACGCGGTAGACGGCGGTTAGTTTATGAGCGCACCGCCATATTACTGCCGTTGGCGGCTGCGGCAGCATATTATAATAATATAATAATAATAATAATAATAATATCATATTATTAAAGTCGATCTGCAGTCGTCGACGGTAATTATTATGCGCGCGAAAACAGCGAAATTGCTGTTCGCGTCTCGGCCGGCCAACTCGGACCGCGGTCCACCATCCATCCGCATGCCGTGTAGACTTGGACGGCACTATAAATACCACACACACACACACACACACACCCACCCACACACGTACGGCATGCACTTGCACGCAAAACGGCATTAATAATGATAATAATAGTAATAATAATAATAATAATAAGATTAATAACAAAACTCGCGGTTAACGGTAGTGAAAACGTGCGCGCCGACGAGCGGCGGCGACGGCGGTAATATTTCTGTGTACCCGTTGCACCACCGTCAGCCACCACCGGCGAGCACGATCCGTATTTACCCGTGACACAACGCCGTCGTCTCTCGTGCCGTGCCGCTGCTCCTGCTGCTCCTCCTGCTACGGGATGTGAAAATATGTGACGCGATCGGCTGCAGCTATATAGCGCGTAATGATATGCGTGTCCCCGTTGTTTTATACGACGCGCGTGTATTTTTTAGGTTTTGGGTGTGCGTATTTTTACGACTAGGTCGGGCTTACACGTTATTTTGTATTTATTATTACTTTTTTTTTCCGATTTTATGGCCGCCGGAGGGCACTCCCCATATTAGGGAAACGGGCACGAGGGCACGACGGCCGGAGTGGGAAAGTGAGGAGTAGTAGTAGTCGTCGTCGTCGTCGTCGTCCTATCGCAGTCGGCTGTTATTATTATTATTATTATTATTATTCGATTGTGTACAAAATATAATAATAATATAATGTAGCGCGTAGGTAATGACTACTAACAAAACGTTGGCCCACCGCCGTCGTCGACGTCGACGTCGCAGTCGGTCGGCGCGTTTTCGCATAACATTATTATTATTACTATTATTACAAGAACATTCGATACGAAATCACTTACGAGAGATGTTACAATGTTACAATAAAATATTATAGTCAAAACAACTATTCGGTCCGAGAGCGTCCGCCACCGGCGTCGTCCGAGTTACCGTATTATTATATTATTACCGTGCCCCTTCCCGTTGCTCCGAAGAAAACACAGTACGTAGGTACCCATATACTTGTTAATAATATAATATTATTATGATACACGACCGTCGGTTTTTTTTTTTTCATTTTCTCTCATAATAATTCATCACGGGACCCATACGCGTCACCCTTTTCGATATACACTCCGCGGAAACGTTATTCGTCGTGAACACATCGAACGGGGCCATTTTTATATTCATACTCGTAACATTATTGTAATACGTCAACGACGGTGATGGATCTCCGGCGGTGGACCTGCTCGTGTTAGAAGAGGAAGATTGGGGAGGGGGCGGTAGGGGGCTTGAGTATTAAAAATAGCCGATTCAGACGGCAACTCCGTACATCCAACAACGTCGGTCGCGTAATATTGTCGCCTCCGTTGCACATTGTCGTTCGCGTTACAACAGCAGCAGCTGTTATCGAGAAACGCCGCCGTCGCCGTCGCTCGTGGTGCACCGGAAAAAAGTAACGATGACGGCGGCGGCTTCGGAAGAGGCGTTTGACAAGGGTGTGTGCATGTGTACGCGTGTGTGTGTGCCGCAGCCGAAGGAGAGGCGTTGCTGCGCTGCAGCTGCCCCGCACTGGAACTGCGGTTCGCTGCCGCCGAAAGCAAAACGAAGATTACGCGCGCCCGATCCATGTAATGTGTTCAACGACGCGTGGGACAAGTCACATAAAAGCTTTTCCTGAAATTATAGAATTTATTATCGTTCGCGTGACGCGTACGCTCCGAAAACGGTTAGAAATAAAAAAAACTAAACACAACACTCGGAATGTCGATTCCGCCGCAGCACGTTTCCGAGCAGCAAGCGCGGCCCGGCCGTTACACACTCGACGCAGCTGCAGCGGTAACGAAGACGAAATGCATTACGCGCCCCGGTGGCGCGTTTTGTTTTGTTTTTTTATTCGGGTTGGGGAGGTGGGTACACCGCGCGTCTGGACGCCCCCGGGCACAAAGATAAATAGCCCGACGTGTTTGTATTTTACTCACGCCTGTCAAAATATTTACGTCCGAACTGCAAAAATGAAATTAATTTCATTAGATCCGGCGTCGTGTTTCGAGGTATACAAAATTTGCACGCCCTCGCCCCGAAAAATCACCTAAAATACGCCTAGGAATCAGGAGTTCGGGACTTGTACGCTCGTCGACCTCGGTAACGAGTGGGTCGACAATACGCGTAATTACACTACGGTTTACCCCCGCACTCTTCATACCCCATGGGGGTTTGTCTGTGATATTGTTGTAACGAGCGTACACACAGCCCATTGCTCGTCGTACACACACGCGTAAAACCATCGGGTACACGAACGCGATATAATATATGTTATTATGTGTATAAAATAATATCGTGTCGTATAATAATATTACACGGAGAACAGAGAAAGGAGTGTCGAACTGCGCCGAGGAAGTCGCCCGAGCCCGATCGCCTGTCGCCCGTTGCTTTCGTCCGTGTCCGCGTTTCGACTGCTTTCCGGCTTTCCTCCTACTCTCCCCGTTCCCCGCGGCACTGTCCATTGTTTTTACAGTAAGGTCGTCGTCGCCGTCGTCGTCGTATTTGGTCCTGCCGACGACCGACCGTGTATTACACACACACACACACACACACACACGTGGTGATGGCGGTGACGGGTGGTCGTTCTCGTATTATGTAGGTATTATTATTATTATTATTATTATTGTACGTTTGTACATGCGTATAATGAAATTACAATCGTTATTATAAT